GTGGCGCAAGAATCAAGCCCTGAGGGAATCCGCAGTTCATGGATGTCCACTCAGACTTATGTTCTCCCATACTCACAAAATAACCTCTCCCTTCTAAGTATGACCTGAACCATTTTAGGACTATCCCAGAAAGCCCCACCCAGTTTCCCAGCCTGTTAAGAAGTATGTTGTGATCGACAGTGTCAAATGCAGCACTGAGGTCGAGTAGTACCAACACGGATAATTTGCCTGTATCAGTATTTAAGCGAATATCGTTTATTATCTTTATGAGCGCTGTCTCCGTGCTGTGATGCGATCGGAAACCAGATTGAAAATTGTCAAAGTATCCATTTGAGCTTAAGAATTTGTTCAGCTGATTGAAGACAGCCTTTTCAATGATCTTGCCTATGAAAGGAAGATTTGAGATCGGTCTGTAATTGCTCAAGATGGTCTTATCCAGATTGCTCTTTTTCAGGAGGGGCTTGACAACTGCAGTTTTCAGGGAGTTCGGAAAACTCCCAGAGCGAAGTGAGGCATTTACCACTTCTAGGAGATCTGCTTCTAAACAGTTTAACACACTTTTGAAAAAAGATGTGGGAAGTGCGTCAAGGGCACAGTTTAATGTTTTAAGTTGCTGTACGGTTTCTTGCAAAATTGTGCCATCAATTTCTTCGAAATCAGACATAGTAACTACTTTCTCAGGTTGTGGTCTGACCTGCCTGACCCCAGAGCAACTCAAGGATGTGCTGATCACCTTTCTAATGTTATTGATTTTCTCAGAGAAGAAAGAAGCAAACTCACTGCATTTCCTTTCTGAGAGCATTTCTATGGGAATCTGGTTTGTCAGTCTCTCTACAGTAGCAAAAAGAGTGCGTGTGTTGTTTATATTGCTGTTTATAATATTTGAGAAGAAAATCCGTCTAGCTTTGCCTAGTTCCCTGTTGAAAGCGTGGATGCTGTCTTTGTAGATGTTATAATGGACTACAAGTTTTGTCTTCCGCCACATGCGTTCTGCTCTTCTGCATTGTCTTTTCATATTTTGCACAGCTGTTGAGTTTCTCCAAGGTGCTTTTTGTCTGCCACTATTCTTCCAGACTTTCACAGGAGCAATGTCATCAATTACACTCTTAACTTTTGAGTTAAAAGAATCAAGGAGAAAATCAACAGAGTCAGCAGATATGCTTGGTTTTAAAGATATAGCCTTCATAAATAGCACACCAGTGTTTTCATTTAAGCATCTCTTCTTGACAGACACAGCTCTAGCTTCAATGGCAGGAGAGATTAATATATCAAAGAAAATACAGAAATGATCAGACAATTCTACATCCTTAATAACGATCGATGAGATGTTTAAACCCGTACTGATTAGTAAATCTAGAGTGTGTCCACGATTGTGTGTGGGACCATGTACATGCTGTGTCAAATCAAAAGTTTTTAAAACAGTTTTGATTTCTTTTGCCATATTGTTTTCTGCATTATCTATGAGAATGTTAAAATCTCCAGCAATGGCAAAACAGTCAAACTCAGAGGCAATTGTTGATAACAGTTCTGTAAAGTCCTCAGCAAAGGCTGGAGAGTATTTTGGAGGCCTGTAAACAATGATAAGTAAAATACGTGGAGCACCTTTTAACAAAATACCCAGATATTCGAAAGACGAGTAATTCCCAAATGAAATTTGCTTACATTGATAAACATATTTAAAAAGAACAGCTAAACCCCCACCTCTCTTACCCACTCTGCAGACACTCATATAAGTAAAATTTGGAGGGGATGTTTCGTTTAGGACCATTGCACTACAGCTGTCTTCTAGCCAAGTTTCAGTTAGAAACATGAAGTCCAGGTTGTATGTGGTTATTAAGTCATTGACTTGAAGTGATTTATTTTTAATGGAGCGGATGTTTAAAAGTGCTAAATTAATAGTCTTACTTTTTGTCCCCACAGCAGTCTTAGTTTGGTGTGTAATAGGCACCAGATTAGATGGGTTTGCTGTACAGCTGTTGAAGGCCTTAGATTTCCTATCATGCAAATGAACAGCAATAGAGAAAGATTCAGGCACACTGGGTTCCCGCTTGTTCTGTAAACATTTGATAAAGTTATTGTTTTCATAGGGAGGACCCGAAGTATATCACTTAGAGCTAGTGTTGTCACGGTACCAAAATTTCAGTATTCGGTACCGATACCAGTTAAAATTCACGGTTCTCGGTACCAATTTCGGTACCAAAGCTTAGCTTAGTTTAAATTTACATATATTTAAGTGTTTATCACGGTTACAAGTATGGAAACTGTACATTTGTATTATAAACACTTTAGAAAAAGATTAGATAAAATGACCTAAAATAAACAATAGTATACACTAACACATTTTTAAAGTTGTTTGTAAAGTTTTAATCCATTATTTATTTAATGCACAATGGAATTAAGTGAACAAACATGAACAATCAGGTGTTTGTATTTTCAAACATTAATGTTGTAAAATATATTGTTCACTCAATGTGTTGATAACTAAGTAATGTTTATGAATGGTATCTTTGTAGCATTACCATAAAACATGTTTTATTTGACTTGACTGTCCTTTTATTAATCTAAATCTGCATTCATATTTAATTTTAAAAAGGCTTTTTAAACCTGCTGAGTTATAAAGGCAAGCCCAGCTAACAGGGAACGTTCTTAGAACTTTGGCTAACATTCCCTAGAGGTTTGGTTAATGTTTTAAATAAAACATTTGAATGCAATGTTTTAAGAATGTTTTAAGGATGTTTTCTCATTTCAAATAATGTTCCTATAAGGTTAAATGTAAACTAAGATATAACATTTTCACTGTAACATTTTGAGGATGTTTTGGGAATGTTGCTGAGATAACAGATTAAACAATGTTCTCAATAAAACATTAGCACAATATCTCATAATAACAGAGGAGGAACATTATCAAATCAACGTCCGCAAAATGTTTTGAGGATATTATTTAGTCCTGAGATGATGGAATGTTTTTATAAAACGTTCTTGTAATGTGACGTGTTAACAAAACTAGAACATTGTCACTGTAACATGTTGAGGATGTTTTGGGAATGTTGTTGAGATAACAGATATTAGAATGTTATCAATAAAACATTGGTACAATGTCCCATAAAAACAAAGGAGGAACATTATCAAATCAACGCTCGCAAAATGTTATGAGGATATCATTGAGGCCTGAGATGACTGAATGTTTTTTATAAAACATTCTTGTAATGCGACATGTTAAGAAAACTAGAACGTTTTAAATTTAACATTTTGAGGATGTTAATGAGGTAAAGGTTTGTAGAATGATCTCTTATAAAACATTGAAACAATGTTCCATAATAACAGAGGAGGAACATTATCAGGTTAACGTTCGCAAAATGTTTTGAGGATATTATTTAGTCCTGAGATGACGGAATGTTTTTTATAAAATGTTCTTGTAATGTGACATGTTAACAAAACTAGAACATTTTCACTGTAACATGTTGAGGATGTTTTGGGAATGTTGTTGAGATAACAGACATTACAATGTTCTCAATAAAACATTGGTACAATGTCCCATAAAAACATAGGAATAAAATTATCAAATCAACTTTCGCAAAATGTTATGAGGATATCATTGAGGCCTGAGTTGATGGAATGTTTTTTTATAAAATGTTCTTGTAATGTGACGTGTTTAACAAAACTAGAACGTTTTAAATTTAACATTTTAAGGATGTTGATGAGGTAAAGGTTTGTAGAATGATCTTTTATAAAACATTGAAACAATGTCCCATAAAAACATAGGAATAACATTATCAAATCAACGTTCGTAAAATGTTTTGAGGATGTTATTTAGTCCTGAGATAATGGAATGTTTTTATAAAATGTTCTTGTAATGTGACGTGTTAACAAAACTAGAACATTTTCACTGTAACATGTTGAGGATGTTTTCGGAATGTTGTTGAGATGACAGATATTACAATGTTCTCAATAAAACATTGGTACAATGTCCCATAAAAACGGAGGAGGAACATTATCAAATCAACGTTCGCAAAATGTTATGAGGATATCATTGAGGCCTGAGTTGATGGAATGTTTTTTTAATAAAATGTTTGTAATGTGACGTGTTTAAACATTAACACTGTAACATGTTAAGGATGTTTTGGGAATGTTGTTGAGATAACAGATATTACAACGTTCTCAATAAAACACTGAAACAATGTTCCATAATAACAGAGGAGGAACATTATCAAATCAACGTTCGAAAAATGTTTTGAGGATATCATTGAGGCCTGAGATGATGGAATGTTTTTATAAAACATTCTTGTAATGTGACGTGTTAACAAAACTAGAATGTTTTAAATGTAACATTTTGAGGATGTTGATGAGGTAAAAGTTTATAGAATGATCTTTCATAAAATATTGAATGTAGGCCTACCATAATAACAGAGGAAGAACATAATCAAATTAACGTTCGCAAAATGTTTTGAGGATATATTATTTAGTCCTGAGATGATAAAATGTTTTTAATAAAACATTCCTTTAAATTGACTTTTTAACAAACATTTTGCATGATACATTTTGAGGATTTTTTGTCGAAATGTTGTTATCTTTTATAAATCATTGGCACAATAACAAAGGAGGAACATTATCAAAGCAACATTCATCAAATGTTTTGTGGACATTTACCTGAGATGACAAAATCTCATAATAAATGTTAACAAAAGCTCATAAAATTGTAAGGATATTTTAAGGAAGCTGTTTAGGTAACAGATTTTAGAATTATTTTAACCTATAGAATAATGGCATAACTTTCCATAATGAAAGAGGAACATTGTCAAAACAGCATACGGTAAAGTGTTTTGAGGATATATTAGGCTACTCTGAAATGAACTGTTGCGACAAATGCGTTTACAAGAGATGAGAAGCTGATTGGAGGTCGCTGTAGATCGACGTTTAAAACCACCAATCACAGCGCGATGTTCCCATGACGTAAGAACATTTGAACTCGACAAACAGCGCAAATAAAGCAACATTTCTGTTGAAGAAATCGGCGCAGAATGTCCGTTGTCTAAATTGGCGACACATTGGCCCAAAACAACAGAACTCCTGGTCAACGGAACTCTTTCACAACTGTAAGTTTTTGTGTGTATTTTTTCAGTTTACATAGCTTTCTCTTATCCTTGATGTCTTTCAGTATTAGACCTAACTTTCTTAGAATTGTATGACAGTCGCAATAAATCTGAGTGTATGCTACTTTTGAATAACAGCTAGATTTGTTTTAATGCAGACTCCAAACGGACTGTTTCAAGATGATTAACTTACCGATGACACAATAAAGTCTCCATTTACAACCAAGGTAGCCTACTATAATGCCGGTAATGTGTTCTATGCATACGAATACTGTATTTTTACTTAAAAGTGATCTTAATGTCTTTTGAAAGTAAAAGTTAATAATAATTCAGTAATTCATATAACGTTAGAGGTTAACGTTAATGAATTGGAAAGAGCGTTTCTCAAGGCTTCAGGTGTATATAACATTCTTCTTTCAGATGAATACTATCTGAGTTATATTTAAAAAAAATGTCCTGACTCTTCTGACTTTTAGAATGGCAGTGAATGGCCGTCTATCAAGGCGCATCCATCCATGATAAAAGTAATCCACCACATGACTCTGGCGGGGTTATAAAGCCCTTTTAAAGCGAAGCATTTGTGTAAGAAAAATATCCATTTTTAAAACTTTATTGTATTAAGATATTGGATACATGGATTAAGTATGTTTTAAATTACAGAAACAAAAAAGATACTCATAATTTATCATATTTATACTTTCAATAAATTAGTCTTTACATAATTTCTGACTGCTAATTAGGCTGGCTAATTTTGAAAGTTTTCAATGTCAATATTGCTTGTGATCTTAATGTATGTGTATTCTTTATGTTTACACTTTTGCATGATCTTCTTTTTTAGGCTATGAGGAAAAACTCTACCGTGCACACAGAGAACAGAGCTCAATGCTAACTGGGGGTGCAGCTGGACAACTAGAAGAGAGAATAGTAGAACACTATTATTAATACAGATTCCTGGATTATTTTTTTAAATATGGCAAGAACCAAAACAAGCAAAGACTGATGATGAGTGCTCTGAGCAAACACCGCAGTCAAGACGCATGAGTGACTTTACTGAGTTCTTCATGTAATGTTGGGCATTTACTGTACGCAGAACTTCTAATAATTTATGTGGATGCCATTTAAACCTGTTAGATTTTGATGTTTTAGTTTTGAGATTAATAAAATGTTATGCTTTAACAATGTTATAGCTAATCATTTTTGAGGGGTTTTAAGAGAACATTTTGGGAACAAAAATAAACTTCCGCTAAAAACTTTATAAGAAAGTTAGGGGATAATGTTTTAAAAATGTTATGATTAAACCTTTATAGAAGGTCATCACAAAACATTTTCAGAGTGTTCTTAGTGAATGTTATGCCATCTTATAAGAGAACATTCTGGGAACAAAAAGAAAACTACCCACTGAAAATGATATAAGAACGTCAGGGAATAATTTTCTAACAATGTTAGCATTTAACATATTTAGAATGTTTTTAGAGAATGTTATTAGAACTTTTAAGAGAACATTCTGGGAACAAAAAGAAAACTACCTGCTGAAAGTGTTATAAAAACATTAGGGAATAATGTTCTAACAATGTTAGCAATAAACATATTTAAAATGTTTTTAGACAATGTTATTAGAACTTTTAAGAGAACATTTTAGGAACCAAAAGAAAACTACCCGCTGAAAATGTTATAAAAACATTAGGGAATAATGTTCTAACAATGTTAGCAATAAACATATTTTAAATGTTTTTAGACAATGTTATTAGAACTTTTAAGAGAACATTCTGGGAACAAAAAGAAAACTACCCGCTGAAAATGTTATAAGAACGTCAGGAAATAATGTTCTAACAATGTTAGCATTTAACATATTTAGAATGTTTTTAGAGAATGTTATTAGAACTTTTAAGAGAACATTTTAGGAACCAAAAGAAAACTACCCGCTGAAAACATTATTAGAACACTGCATGGTAATGTTCTCAGAACATTTTTAGAACAAAAAAATCTTAGCTGGGAGAATACGCCTAGAACTGGCATTGACATTAAATGACAATACTAATACCATAGTACTCTGGTGTCGGGTAGATACTACTGTGCTCATGTACTCGTAAAACTACCCCGAAAGCACTTTAGAGGCCGTTCACATGTCGCGCGTGTTTTTTAATTATATTTTTGCGCGTGCTTATTCTTTCCAAAGCGCTTGCTCTCACGCGGCGTCTGTCGTTGCTATGCAACGCCAACGAGTTTTTATTAGGAGCGCGCTTGAATCACGCCTATATTTGAAATTGCGAATTTGCATGTAATCGGCCTCTTATGGCAACGTGACATTAGCCTAATCCAAAATATTTCCATATGTGGCTCTTTCCTCCTTTTGTTTCAACAAGTGGATTCAGAGAGAGAGAGCCATCCCAGATAGCAAACTGACATTGAATCAACGTGGAAATATGACATCGAAACAATGTTGATCTGACATTGTTTTGCTCATCGAATTAACATTGAACCAACGTCAGATGCGTCATTCTTTCAAAACTAACTAAAAATCAACCTGAAATCAACGCGTTGTTTCAACGTTATGAAAGCAAACCAATTTTTAGATTTCATTTAGCTTTGAAGAATGCCGCGTCTGACGTTGGTTCAACGTTAATTCGATGAGCAAATCAACGTTGTTTCAATGTCATGAGAGACGTCGTTTCCACGTTGATTCAATGTCAGTTTGCTGTCTGGGATATGATATCAGCGTTATGAAGAGGACGCAACTGTGCACGTTTCAGACATCGCGTCTAGAACAGAACTGGATTAACCTGGTACTCGGTACCTAGAAAAGCTGGTACCGTAACATTTTTTTTTTTTTAGTACCGACTTGGTACCGAAGTACCGAGTTTTTTGACAACACTACTTAGAGCTGGTATCAGTTGTTTTTGGTTCCCCTCGAGCCGATGGAGGAGGGTGTGGGCCCTGGCGCTGTGGCAGAGGCCGAAGAACTCTCGGAGGAGGAGGGGGAGGGCGAGTTGGGCCCGCAGGCTTTGGTGGTTGTGGGGCCTGCCGTTTTTTGGTTGGTATCTGGGGGCTTGCAGCAAAAGAGTGTGATAGTTTGGTTCCAGCAGACACCAGTTGTTCCATTTTCTCTGAGAAGCACAGAAGTGGAGATGCTGGAGAGATGGATAACGTGTCAGGTGAGATGGGCTGTTGCTCTGGTGTTATTGGAGGGTGTAAAATGCTGTCCTGGTTTCCCTCGCGGTTTTCCATAAAGTCGTCCTTGTGTGCTGAATCTGGGAGCAGTTCTGATATGTCACAGTCTGTCTGTGGTGAGCTCTGTGGGGAGGGCTCTGCTGAGATTGTATCCGTGAGCAGAGGTTGTTGTTGTGGCTGAGTGGTGTTATCATTGTCCTTGTGTGATGTGTCAGCAATATGCCCATTCAGGTGCTGAAGTGAAGTCCTGTGGTCATTCATACTGTGTCCAGGTGTGTGAGTGCCATTTAGGTTGAATGGATTGGCACACACAGCAGAAGGATGATCGAGGGAGAAGTAGATATTGTCCTTTAGCACTCTTGAACCAAGTTTGTTTGGGTGATGGCCATCCCGTTGAAACAGTTGCCTCTGACTCCAGAAAAGATTAAAGTTGTCAATAAAGTTCAGTCCTTTTATATTGCAGGTTTTTTGCAGCCATGTGTTGAGCCCAATCAACCGTGAAAACCTGTTTGTTCCTCTTGCTGGGAGTGGTCCAGTGATGAATGTTTCAACTTTCAGTCTTTTAAGTGTTTCATAAAGTTCATTGAAATCCTTCTTAAGGAGTTCCGACTGCTCTTTATGAATATCATTTTTCCCCACATGAATGATGAGTCGATTTGCAGTCTTTATATGTTTCATCAGAATGTTCAGAAGTTCCCTGTTTACATCAGAAGTTGTTTCTTGTGGAAGGCAGTATGTAGTTATATCCTTGCCACTAATGTTTCTGATTATGGAGTCGCCCACTATCAGAGTCCTGGGCCCCGCTGTGCTCTGAGCTGAGTGCCGCTGTCTGCTCAACCTTGAGCGCCGGTTAGCATCAGTGTTAGCTACAGGTTGACTCAGTCTGTGTTCGATCACATTCGTCAAATTCAGGGATTCCTCATTCATTAAAGGGTTAGTTCACCCAAAAATGAAAATTAAGTCATTAATTACTCACCCCCATGCTGTACCAACCCCGTAAGACCTTCGTTCATCTTCGGAACACAAATAAAGATATTTTTGATTGAATCTGAGAGCTGTATCACTCTTCCATAGACAGCCTGAGGGACTGCCTCTTGACGGCCCAGAAAGTCATTAAAAGAAAAGGTTTAAATATTCCATGTGCCTACAGTGGCTCAACTATAACTTTATCAAGCGACGAGACTACTTTTTGTGCGAAAAAAAAACGTAAATAATGACTTTATTCGACTTTCCATTACTTCCTTATGGGCGCATGCGCGAGAACTGAGACGAGACCGTTCTTCTTCGACTACTTTTTGTTACCGGCTGCTCACCGCTTAGGAGTTTTACCGCCCCCTACCGTATAAGATGACGTACTGATATAGCCGGAGGCGCAAAACGTTCTGTTTACAAGCAGTACGTCATCTTATACGGTAGGGGGGCGCTAATACTCCTAAGCGGTGAGCAGCCGGTAACAAAAAGTATTCAAAGAAGAACGGTCTCGTCTCAGTTCTCGCGCATGCGCCCAAAAGGAAGTAATGGAAAGTCGAATAAAGTCGTTATTTACGTTTTTTTTTTCGCACAAAAAGTAGTCTCGTCGCTTGATAAAGTTATAGTTGAGCCGCTGTAGGCACATGGAATATTTAAACCTTTTCTTTTAATGACTTTCTGGGCCGTCAAGAGGCAGTCCCTCAGGCTGTCTATGGAGGACTGATCTAGCTCTCAGATTCAATCAAAAATATCTTTATTTGTGTTCCGAAGATGAATGAAGGTCTTACGGGGTTGGTACAGCATGGGGGTGAGTAATTAATGACTTAATTTTCATTTTTGGGTGAACTAACCCTTTAATACTTCAAATCTGTTCTCAAGATGAATAGGCAGTGGTAGGAGGCCAGTGGTTGCAATCCTTGTCAGAGTCATATCTGGGGTAGATGATGCTACTGCTGAAATATGTGGTGCTCGTGACAATCTGATGTCTCGAGTGCCTTTGGGTCTCGCTCCCTGTTTGTGCCATCGATTTGTAAGACGATCGGCTTGTTTCTCTACAGTCAGTATAGCCTGTCGAGGAGCACTAGATTCATGGGACTCACCGGCTGTGTGCTGAGGGCGTCCATGACGAAGCTCTGTTGTGCGTTCCGTCTGGTTTGTCGGTCCCGAATTTAACTTTGTTTCAAGAACTGCAATCCTTTGTAAAATTCTGTGGCAGTTAGAGCAGCAAGTAGATTCCAGAAGAGGCATTTTCTTATCCTTATGAATGTAGGGAGTTGTGTTTTCTCTTCCCCGGAATGTAAGCAGTGAGAGGCTGGTTGAATAAAAGTGTGAAGTACTTTTTAAGTAATCCCAGCGTCTGAGCACTGTGCTGATTTGCTGAAGTTAAAATTAGGTGAAAAGGAGATAAAATATTTTAAAAATATTAAAGCGATAGAGCAAAGTGCGGAGCAGTAAGCAGGAGCGTCCGAACAGAACAGATTTAGGGAGGCTTATTTATGTTACCCACATGCATGTGCATCTCTGCAATTAACCACAAATTAATTGTAATTAATTACACGGACCACGTTTTACAAGACAGGCACAATTAATTAGCTCAATTAATTTATAGAGTCGTGAAAACAAATTCTGTGGCCACAAGAATTAGCTTTCCTCCTCTATAAAAACATACCCTTTAAGGTATCTTTGATTAGCTTTGTAGTCTTTTGGATCGACACTTCAGGGACTTGTATCATGAGCAAGACAATGATTCAGTCAGAAATTAGCATAATTGTATTTAATAAAGCAACTACTTAAGCATTTACTACGTTACAATGATACATGTATTTACAAACATTAAAAACACAAACTAAGACGACGCGGGGCGTTTAGACAATGGGTACCGTGTAAATGAGTTGGAGAGAGAGAGAGAGAGGGTGTGAGAGAGAGAGAGAGAGTACGTAGAGAGAGCATGGAGAGACATGGAGAGACATTCACCAAGACAATCACCGTTCTGAAACACCACGAAAACCTCATCTTAATGCTTCTTAGAAGCGCTGAAAGAG